TGCTCGACGATTTCTCTTCTTCTTTTGACTGCCAAGCAAGGGCACTCGGCCGCACAACGACTGTTTCGCATACTATCGACACTGGAAGCCATGCGCCCATTCGACAGCGTCCTTACCGAGTATCGGCAAGTGAAGAGCGCCTTATCGATGACCAGGTAAATGACATACTTAAACGCGGTGCATTCAACCTTCCAACAGTCCTTGGGCATCACCTGTCGTCCCTGTTCGGAAGAAAGATGGCACAATAAGATTTTGCGTCGATTATCGCCGGCTTAACAAGATTACCCGAAAGGATGTGTACCCGTTGCCACGAATTGATGACGCACTCGACTGCGTGCAAGGAGCGGAGTTCTTTTCTTCCTTGGATCTCCGCTCTGTCTACTGGTAAGTGCCCATGGCTGGGACTGACCACTCGAAAACCGCATTTGTAACACCAGATGGATTGTATGAATTCACTGTAATGCCATTCGGTCTCTGTAATGCACACGCCACTTTTGAACGCATGATGGGCGGCATCTTACGTGGCTTGAAGTGGCACACTTGCCTCTGCTATTTAGAAGATATTGTCATCTTTGCGCCAGATTTGCCGACCAATCTACAACAGTTGCATCAAGTTTTGACCTGTGTCCAAAATGCCGGTCTTCAGCTTAACTTGAAAAAGTGCCTATTAACAGCTAGAAAACTAACTATACTAGGCTACGTCGTCTCCAAAGAAGGCATTCTTCCCAATCCTGCTAAACTTCGAGTAGTATCCGAGTTCCCGAAGCCTACTAACCTGAAAGCACTGCGCACCTTCATCGGTCTATGCTCTTATTTTCGGCGCTTCGTTAGAAATTTTGCTATTGCCATCGCATCTCTCAATGCACTCCTCCAAGGCGACAACGAACTATCTACCTGGTCAGAAGCTTGTGAAGATGCGTTTACGACACTTCGTCGTCTGCTTTGCTTAAGTTTCCACCGATTTCGCGTCAGTTCGCTCCGACCGCACACACAGAAATCCACACTGATGCTAATGGTGCCGGCTTTGGTGCTGTGCTCGCACAACGTGACGATGCCAACACCAAATACGTGGTTGCATATGCCAGTTGTGCACTCACAAAACCTGAGATCAATTACACCATAACCGAAAAAGAGTGCCTGGCCATCATATAGGCTCTACAGAAGTTTCGCCCCTATCTTTACGGTCGTCCTTTTGACGTCGTAACAATCACCACGCTCTGTATTGGTTGTCAAACCTTAAGAACCCGTCAGGTCGCCTTGCTCGGTGAGCCCTCCGACTCCAGGAATACGACAGCCGTGTCGTATATCGTTCTGGCCAACAACACTCTGATGCTGACGTCCTGTCATGCTTCCCACTCATTTCAGACGCCAGCGCATCTAGTCACAATCAGGATATTTCGCCACTTGACATCTTGGACATGGACTCGGGGCAACAGAATGACCCACGGATTGCTGCAATTCTAAACTTTTTGTCAAGCCCCCTAACCATACCGGCTCCACGAGCACTATGCCGCCAAGTGCAGCATTACGCTATCCGCGATGGTCTTTTATACCGCCGTAACTACCACAACGATGGCCGCACATGGTTATTGGTCATGCCCCACCATCTTCGTCGCAATCTGTGCTCCGCTTTCCACAATGACCCTCAGTGTGGCCATAGCGGCATCTGCAAGACATACACGCGCCTTCGCCTACGCTATTATTGGCACGGAATGTACAGCTTCGTCTGCAAATACATACACTCATGCCTCGCCTGCCAACGACACAAACCAGTCTCGCACCTCTCCACAGCACCTCTCCCGCCGCTTCTTTTCCCAGCCCACCCATTTGATCACGTCGGCATTGACTTGTACGGGCCTCTCCCATGCACTGGCGCCGGCAACCGCTGGATTGTCGTCGCCGTGGATCACTTGACAAGATACGCCGAAACCGCTACATTACCTGCCGCAACAGCCAAGGACTTTCCTCGTTTATTCTACGCAGCTTTGTTCTCCGCCATGGCGCCCCTCGTGAACTGCTCCGTGATCGCGGCCGTGTATTTCTCTCAGACGTGTTGCAATCACTCCTATCCGAATGCAGAATTATTCACCGCACCACTACGGCATATCACCCACAGACAAACGGTTTAACGGAACATTTTAACCAAACTCTGGGTAACATGTTGTCGATGTATGTTGCGTCAGACCACTGCAGTTGGGATCTTGTTCTTCCGTTTGTCACATTCACCTACAACACCGCCTCCCAAGCCACCACCGGATTCTCAACATTCTTCTTGCTATACGGCCGTGAACCCACAGCACCATTGACACGATTCCACCATATCATCCAGATGTTGACTACCTGCCTGTGTCTGCGGTGACTCACCAGGCCAAGAAATGCCAACAACTGGCCCGTTCTTTCATCTACCACCAGCAGTGTTGCCAAAGACAGCGTCACGACTCCGACATGCCTCCTGACCCTTTCACTGACGACTCTCTCGTGTGGCTTTGGGTCCCACCAGTTGCTGTTCCCGGCCTTTCGTCTAAGCTTCCTCTGAAGTATCACGGACCTTACCGCATGGTTGCACAGACCTCTCCTGTTAATTATGTGGTTGAACCCGTTACGCCATCTTCCGACCTTCGTCGTCGGGGGCGAGAAACAGTCCACATTAACCATCTCAAGCCGTATTATGGCCCTCTGACCTCTCTCTAGGTCGCCAGGATGGCTACCTCTCGATACCGGGGGTAATTGTGAGGAAGAAGATGGACACATGCGGAAGCGCATTGCCATCGCCTGGCTCGCTCGGCCGTTCGCTCCCTGGCTACGCTTTGCCTGCTGCTGCTGCTATCTTCCCGGTCGCTGTATACCTCAATAAACCCTCGTAACATCTGAAGCTTCCTCCTCATGTGTTAGATGAATGCACACGCGCCACTGCATGGAGAGCCCTCCGTTTATTTAGCTTTCATTAATTCAAACTTCTTTTAATTTGAACAAATTTTCGGGCCCCTTCGAGTTTGAATTATCGAGATTCAACTGTATATTATCAACCTTTGCGCTACAGTATCATACCTTTTTTCCTCTCCAATGATGATTGGTATGTGGGGTTTAACGTACCAAAACCAATATATGATTATGAGAGAGGCTTTTTCCCTCCAAGGTGCTATCTTTATAATAGAGGACAACTAAAATGAAGATATTGTGCACCAATGCATTCCTCGAAAAAATTACCTAAAATGGCATGGCATAAACCGAGCTAAGAGAAACAAAAGCTGAATAGTTTTTTTAGAACCTTCAATTGATGCCAAAAACAAAAAAATGCTGCCAACAGTTCAGAATGGTGCATGGTGCAGCTTTTGAACAAAGAATGGCACTGTCAGATGCACAAGGATGGCATTAACTTTCTTTCCCAAGATATCGCTATATCATTCATTTGCTGTGATTTAGCCTTCTTTTGTGCGCTAATTCAAGCCCAAATAAAATGTTGCAATCCAGAAGTGCCAAATCTAAATTTTACTCCAGAATATCAATGAGAGGGGGCTATCTAGATTTTAGCTGCAATACAGGTTTGAGGTAGTAGTTTGGTGACCTGAGCACACTGGCAACAAATTGTTGGAACAGGACCAATCATATTGTCAGTAGCAAAAAAGTGCATTTTTTTCTGCTTCAGTTAGAATGTACTTGGCTTTTTCAGGGTAAAAAAAAAACACACACACCTATGTTTGGCAGGGATGGTGCTACCATCTAGGAGCAGTGCAGCAAAGTACACTCAAGCCTCAATATAACGAACCCGAGTATAATGAATTATCAGTTGTAACGAAGTGAAGAATAGCATTGTCACAGATATAGTGTTAAGAATATATGTTTATAACGAATTTTCAGAAACCAAGTAATTTGGTGGCAGATGTGACTTTATTGTAATGAGGTTTGAGTGTAAACAGTGTGAAACAGCAATTCGTGATTGCAATGAAACAGCGAGACACACGCAAGCGGAAATCGTAAAGCTTTCATGCAGTCGACGCACAAACTACGAACTCTGCCTTTCCCATTCATAAATCTGAGTGTGTCACAACATTCTCGGCAGGCAAAGACCGGACACAAATGCTAGGCAGGGACATGTAAAACATAGGTGCATCCCCATTGAATTTTACTGTGCCAACTGAATCGCAATACATGTCTAAATGTCTCACATGGACTTTCGTGACACGAAAAACCCTCATGAGATAACCAATCTTTTTTCTTCTTTTCCATCCTAGTGCTTGAACATTTTCGCAGAACCTTTCATATAAACAAGAATTCATTGACAATTATAAACTTTAGACAAAAGCTCAAATTTCAATGTAAAGTGAAGTTTCAATATATTAAAAAATAGACAATTTTACAATGTCACAATACTAAGGTTTAATGTTTATACTGCTTGTTGCATGCTTGATTGCACTCAAACCCTGGTTTGTTTGTTTTTCCACAGTATGGCTGACTTTAAGTTAATCTTTTTAAAATCAATCTGTCATCTTCAAAAATGTTGCTACACAAGCATTGGATATTTTGAGACATGCACCATCCCACTTCTTCTACTTCACGCAATTCCCTTCAGATACAATGGCTCGCTTAGCGGCATTTGCTGAAATTTTGCTGTTTTGCCTATATTACTATTTCCAAATGTTTTGCCTGTATTAATATTACCAAAAAGCTCAGGAGTAATCATGGAACATAGCATAGAAGCGAAAATGCAAGGGTGCAGTGCATTATTCAATACACCTTAAGTGGCACCGAATATTTACAATACATGCCTACCTAGCAGAGTAATATACCCTTTCACGAGATTTCCAGGGAGATGGCTACAGCTGCTAAATACAGACGATTTAATATGTGTCAGCTCGATATGTTCAGATTCAATAATTATGAACATTAAATTAATTCCAGTATCACAATCTTTTTGTGGAGAACTTGAGAGGTGTTAACATATAAACATGCAATAGTTCACAGCATAAAAAATGCTTTATGACCAATGAAGGCATGCTCACCGTGACATGCCTGGTCAGGTGGACAATCATCCTATGATTTTCCCTTGAAATGTAAAGCAAGAGAAAGTCCAGAGCAGGTCTTTCTACAAAAGACACAAAAATTAGTTTTAATTAAATAGTTCACACTGTCAAATCCTCACTTGAGAGCCATTCTGATTGCAGCCATTAGCGAAGTAAAAAGAACATGAATAAAGAAAATAGTAATCAAGCACAGAGCATAAAAACTTTCTAAAAGTTGAAAATTAAACAACAATAATAACTTTAGTAAAGTTTAAAAAAAATCAGTTGGTCCCTGCTGTAATCATCATTGCAGGGGACAAATTCGTCTTTTATGATCTGTAGGTCCAACTATTAACCCTATGCTATTCGAATAGAACAATGAGGCCAAACAAAAAGTTCTGAGCAGGTCTCGTGCAGAGAGACAGAAAGCGCCAAAGTGCAGTGATTATGGTAGGATCTTAGAGACAATTACATGGCTACAATTAAACCCCTTTATAAGAGGCATGCTCTGGGCAGCAATCGTTTTCTTATATACGAGACATTTCTTATAAGCATGGTACCACGTACGCGTTTTCCTATCAACTCGTATTTTACTGCAGCCACACTGGTGCCTCTTATATCAGTGTCTCTTATAAAGGGGTTCAACTATTATGTTTGGCACTGGATGAAAATACAGCACACGGCCACGATGTCAGCACGACTCTTTCTTGCTAGGGTGGACAGCACATTACCGCTGCACTAAATCAATACATAGCTCAATCGCATGCTTATCAGCATGTGCATTGTAAGCTGGCCTACCTTTCCCTGTAGCATAACAACTTGAGAGCATAGTTTTCTGCATAATCACATACAGTTAAGCCTGGACATAACGAAACTGACCTATTCCCCCCCCCCCCCAAAATTTGTAATAAACAGCTTTTCGTTCAATGCAGCCTCAGCACGAAAATTCAAAAAAGAAAAACACAAATTAAACAAAAAGGTAATTGACAGCAGAGCTCAAGCAAAACATTTATTTAGCGGTAAGAGAGAGAGAGAGAGAGAGAAAGGAAAGGCCGGGAGGTTAACCAGATATTGGCATCTGGTTTGCTACCCAGCGCTGGGGGCGGGGAAATAGGGGCAAGAAAGAGGGGGTAGATAGAGAAATAAAAGAAAAAAAACACACGCACTCATGTGAAAACGAAAACACACACAGGATGGGCGTCCTAGCTACAACCGTTCAGTAAGGCCGGTCGATCGCAAAAAGTGTAGTAGCGCTTTTAGGGCCTTCTTCTGTGAAGTTTCATCTTGTCAATATTGTAGAATTCCTTGCTCCGACAGAGACTGATTATCTAATTTGCCGAGTTCCTCGCGAAGGCATAGTCGTTGTTTACTATGCTCTAGGCAGTCACGAAGAATATGTTGGATCGTTTCTTCTTTGCCACAGTGGCCACAGGCTGCGGTGTCGGTCATCCCAATGCGGAAAACGTAGGCGTTGGTAAACGCAACTCCCAACCACAGCCTACATAACAGGGTCTGGTCTGCTCGGCAAAGCCTTGACGGGACTTGAAGACTTAGCGTAGGGTCAAGCGAGTACAGTCGGGCATGCTTGAAGTGTGGCTGATTCTATTGTGATGTGGTTTGCTGGCAAGCAAGCCTGCAGAGCTTTCTTGCAGCATCTGTCCTGGAAAGTGATAGTCGTAGTTTATGAACTTCTGTGTGATTCCGCAGTGACTGCGCAGTGACTGGGTAACCAGTCACTGCGGAATCCCGATGATTCTGCAGTGACTGGGTAACTACTGAAATGTAATTTGGTGCCCTTTCTCAGTCAGGTGGTGTATAACCTTTTCTATCTCTAGTACCAGCTGCTCGTGTGGTCCATGGCATAAGGCTGATAGTAGAGACTGTAGTGCCGCCTTCGAGTCGCAAAAAATAGTCCACTTGCGTGTAGGTTGATGAACGACAAATTGCAATGCGGCACGAAGTGCTGCCAATTCTGCTGCCGTTGATGTTGTTGCATGAGATGTCTTGAATTTAATTGTCGTGGCCAACCTTGGTATCACTACTGCTCCTGTAGAGCTGTCCGGCTGAACAGATCCGTCAGTGTATATATGTGTGGAGTCTTGGTATTTCTCATACAAGAGAAGTAGTGTGAGCTGTTTAAGAGCCGGTGACGACAAATTGGCCTTTTTCTGGACGCCAGGTATGTTAATATTAATCATTGGTTGAGCGAGGCACCATGGCGGAGTCACAGGTCTAGCGGCAGGAGAGAACGAAGTTGGGATCGACTTGCCATGTGCGGTCACTGTTTTGCAGTAAGATGTGCATGGTCGGTCCACTGGTAGAGAGGCTAGGTGATGTCGAGGAGTTCGAGCAAGGTGTCGTATATGTGTCCTCAGCACTTCCAACATTAATGTGGGTCTTGATGAGGTGGTCCCTTGTGATGGAGATAGTTGCCGCTGTTGATGCATTTTGGGGCAAGCCTAAACAAATACGGAGTGCTTGAGCCTGGACACTTTGAAGCATTCGCATGCTTGTTTTACGTGCGTTGGTTAACGCAGGTAGGCTGTACCGAAGGAATCCAAGGAAAAGAATCCTGTATAGTCGCAACATAGCAGCTGTGGACATTCCCCAGTTCTTTCCAGCGAAGAACTTGAACAAATGACAGATGCCTGTCAATCGCCTTCTCATGTATGATACATGTGGGCTCCATGAGAGGTCTCTGTCAATTATAACACCTAGGAACTTGTATGATCGGAGGTGACGGTAAAAAAACTGTTATTACAGCTATGGCAACTACGGTACATGGAAATTCCCAACTCCCACACACCTGGTGCACAAATGAGCGCTAACTCTCGCATCGCTGTCACCAGGACTTCAAGCACGCTGAGCATGAGGCCACCACTCCGCACTTTGTAGTTGTTGGGGCAACCGCAAAAGATGCATCGTTGAGCCAAAATTACATAATTTGGGGCAAAATTTGAAAGTTGTTTAGGCCGAAACTTCATCATATCAAGGGTGTTTCCCGCTGTCACTTTGTTGCATAGAGGTTCCAAACACATGTGCTTCTATGGAGTAACGGTGGGAAATAAAAAAATGTTATATCGAGGAATTCATTGTATGGAGGTTCATTTAGGCAGTTTAACTGTATTTGAGTGGCTTGTTTTTTGTCACAGTAGCACTGCCATAGGTTGCCCAACACACGCATCAGTTCTATTCACTCGAACAGACCCAGACTGACCAGCGAGTATGACAAGTCGGGCAAAGAAGTTTTGTGAAATTGATTCCAAATGAGCCTGGCAGGGTAGACATTTAGCCAATCTGAATCCTAGCGAGTGTGACCAAGCAACTTGCGACTTTGAGCGAACAAGGCTAGACAGATTATTTGTGATTTCCAGTCAGGGTGAGCACGGCAAATTGGAATTAAAAGAGCCCTCTGCAGAAAGATAAATAGAGAGTTTAGAAAGTTGCATTTATATTGCCAACTGATGCTGCCAGCTCAGTTAACTGACATAGAGAAGGAAGAACACTAGCTATTGTTAAAATTCCGGCAATGATTTGGATCTGCCACAGCTGAAGCAGATTAGTGTTTTATAATTACCTGTGCCTTGAAGTTTTATAATGGTACAAATGCCACCTGACAGTATTACTAAACTCTACCAGGTATACAGTCACACAGGCTGCATCAGAGCTCATGTTCATTGACACTGAAACTCGAGTTCATTCTCACAAGCACATACTTGTGTGTAGAAAAAAGGGAGGGGGGAGGGGGCTTGGTTAAACATGCAGCCACGGCAGCAATGTGAGGCAGCAGCCTGTGCAATATGCAAGTGGATTTTTTTTGTAATTTGATAGACAGCTCAATAACTAAAGTTAGACTGAATGAAGACAATGTTGCTGTCACAACAGTGGACAAGCAACATTAGCCCAACATCAGTCAGTGCTGCTATGTACTATGTAAGTATGCAAGATAGCTAGCAAAGGCCTCTACATGAGACAAGGCGAATTTGGTCAGAAATCACACTGGCATCATATACATCATGACACGTTGCAGGAAGTGGGTGGAAAACACACAGGCAGACAGTTTCTTCAAAAGACCAAGCATGGGTCTACACAGCTATCAATTATGTGTTTGTCCAACCCCACAAAACTATGAAATAGTTTTTCCACTTTACCTCCCCTTCCTGAATACACATGCACCAGCAGTGTAACTAAAACCCACATTCACAATTACAAGTACCATATACTTGCTCTCACTGCCTCCCTTCCTGTTCCTTCTCTGCTTCTCCAGGATCTCATTTTTATACTTTGAGTATAAACTTAAACTCGAAACTAAATGAAACCAAAAAACCAAGTCTCCACAGGCCAGTGGAGGTAGCTTTGGAATGGAACTGGGGAGAAAGCTTGCTGCCTAGTACAAAACACCCGAGTACATGAGAGTAGTGTGAAATCCTTCTCGTTCACTAACGTGAGCTGAGACATGGTCCATTGATACGCGGCATGCAGTAGCAATGTATTGAACTGGGTGAGATCAATGCCAGCAGTTTCTTATATTTTCACCTTAGCTCAAGCCTTCTCTTCTTTTCTCAGGATTCAGCATCAGCATTCTTGCTTTTGTGGGAAGCAGTGCTGATCGGCCTTCAACCAAACTGATGACCAAATGACACTGTGGCTTTGGTTCTCTGCTGGTCATGATGTGCAGCTATGCTTCTGGCAAAGATGCACAGTGGTACTATTCATGACACATAATCTGCAGCAACCACACCATCCTATTCAGCATCCTGCTCTGCCTTAAAATGAAGAAGTGTACATTTAAAGGCTCGTTTGCTTTTGTTACATACAATGTTAATGAGATGCCAAAGAAAGCACACGGGATTTTATTAGCAGTACAGATGAGCCCCGTTGTAAGAGACATGCACCATGGAGAAATTTTTGTCTTTTATTTGAGGTGCATGCACTTCATTATCAACCCCGATTTCAGTGTAAGCACTCTGGTGTTTCTTATACCCATTTGTCTCTTACATCAGTGCCTGTTATAAAGGGTCTCGACATTTAGTTGTAATGTAAATATGAATCTTCACATTTACATTACAATTACTTTTAATAACATCCCCTATACTTTCCTTGGCATCATTGTCTGTAGTTCTTATTAATATTGCACTGCCTCGGAGAAAGACTAGGTGAGCCACAAATTCTGCAGCGTTAGGGTAGCTAGAACTGGCAGCATCTTGAAGAAACTCAGAATGAACGAGCAGATCCGGCAGTCAAGCACCATAACCACTTGACTACCATGGTGGGTCAGTGAGCGAGAGTCCAAAAGAACACAGGTTTGACAAGCATGAGTAAGTTCGAGCAAGTACTTCAGCAAGATTGAAGGAGCCTGGTTGAGCAGAATATTGATGATTCATGTAGGCCTGATTAAGTAAGGTTTTGGCAAGTCCAAGTGTGCTCCATATAGCAAGACTGTGGCAGGTAATGCAAGATATACCTTTCAGCAAGGGAGATCAGCATCTTTTGACAAACTATGAGCACAGCTGATCTGTTGACAACTACAAAAAAAAAACTCATAGCTCCCTTTGTCAACCTCAAGAAATAAAATATGACTAGTCTGTGCAGCAAAAAAAAACACATAAAATTATAGAAATTCTTACAATGTACATTTGTTCACCAGGAAAGTGGCCATGATGAAAGATTTGAAAAAAAAAAAAAAAGAAACACACTGCAATCAAGTGACAGAAGGTGGTGAACATAAGCAAAAGAAATATAGAAGAATACTGTTACGGGGTCGGTGACTTCTGTACAAAATGCATTTACAGAGAAAAAACCCCATGCAAGAGTCACAATGGCTGATTGGCACACTCGCGCGCCTGTCAGCTGATTGTGTTCTTCCTCTTCCTTTACTTCATCTCCGTAACAGGACCCCCGGGGGTTGGAGCGCCGTCTCGGCCCGAGTCTGGAGAAGTGCGAGAAAAGTAGGGTTTCATGCACAAAACGTGGAAAATGTCAACAAGTGACGAACTTGGTGACATATTGGAGTGCAATGGCACAATCTCATAGTTTACGTCGCTAACTTGACGTAAGACTAGGTAGGGTCCTGCTTATCGGGACAAAAGTTTTTCGGAGAAACCTACACGGCGACACAGTGACCAGAGGAGCACGCGGTCACCTGGTGCAAACGTTATATTACAATGCCGGTGGTCGTAGTGGGTTTTTCGCATATCCTGTGACCTGGTGAGACGAGACTGGGCAACTTGATGAGCCATGTGAGCCCGATAAATGACTTCGCGAGCATACTCGGAAGCAAATGGTTTGAGAGGTAAGGTAGTTTCGAATGGCAATATGGGGTCGCGACCCCACAAAAGATAAAAAGGTGGGAATCCCGTGGTGTCACGTCCAGAGAAATTATATGCAAAATTTACATAGGCCAACAAGGTGTCCCAGTCACGATGATCTTCGGAGACGTACATCGAAAGCATCTCTGTGAGCGCGCGGTTGAGACATTCAGTTAGGCCATTAGTTTGTGGGTGGTAGGCGGTAGATAGCTCACGCGCTGTAGCACACGATCGAAGGAGGTCGTCGACAACTTTGGACAAGAAAGAGCGGCCGTGGTCCGTAGGCAGCTGTCGGGGTGCACTGTGGTGTAAGATGACGTCATGAAGAAAAAAATCCGCGACGTCAGTGGCCAACTGGTTGGCATGGCCTTTGTTATCGCCTAACGGGTCACATAATCTGTAGCGACGACGATCCATTTATTTCCCAGTGTTGTCGTCGGAAAAGGGCCAAGAAGGTAGAGTCCCACGCGATGAAATGTTTCAAAGGGGACTTCGATTAGGTGAAGATATCCAGCTGGCAGCAAAGAAGGTCTTTTCCGGCACTGGCAGAGGTCGCAAGTGGCGATATATCGACGCACGCTGCGGTACTGAGTCCTGGTCCTGTTACGGAGATGAAGTAAAGGAAGAGGAAGGACACTATCAGCTGACAGGCGCGGCAAGGCAGTGTGGGGTTCAGCGACTATCTGAGGCAGCTCAAGCTGAAGGATGCAGGTAGCACAATCAATAAAAGCAGAATGATTCGACAAGAAGTCCAGGCTTAGGATAACGTCATAAGGGCAGTGGTCAATCACGGCTAAAATGACAGAAGTAGTGTGGTCCTTGATGCTTAAGCGGGCAGTGCGCAGACCGAGAACCATCGGCGTGCTGCTATCGGCCACACGGAGCAATTGTGCAGCCGCTGGTGTCAAAACTTTTTTTAAATGTGTGCGTAAGCTTCAACTCATGACCGAAATGCTTCCGCCGGTGTCTACAAGTGCTTGTACAGGTACACCGTCTACTTCAACATCCATTACCTTTCGTCTGGTGGGAACTGAGAGAGGATTTGCTGCGGAAGTCGTCAATGTAGCACCACCTCCGGGGGCTGCATTTCTCAGTTTTCTGAGACGATGCGGCCGGAAGCCATGGGAGAGGAGAAGCGCCGTGGATGCGGCGCTTCTGGTCGCCTGTCAGGTGATTGTGTCCTTCTTCTTCCTTTACTTCATCTCCGCAACAATATATTGCAAGGTATAATATAAATATGTACTTGTGATAAGTGAAGTGCACATTTGAAAAGTTCGCCACTCGGTCTGCATGACTCAGAGAGGAGGATACGAAGGCACGCAGCAGCACGAGTAAGCATGACCAAGCAGATCCAATGAGAATCCTTCATGGGGTTTCTGAAGCGAGAAGCACTGTGGCAGAACGGCAGACATGGCTGAGACGTGATTTGGACGTTGCAGAGGCGAGCAGGCTACCTGAGCGCGGGTTGGCGGCTGTGTTCTTGTGGCAAGGCCGCTGCGGGCTTCCACCTGGTCGTGTTCCTGAGTGTCAACAATACGGACTGCTGGTCACTTGTCGTTGACCAGGCATTTTGTCTGGGGTTGGCCGGGCTGCTGATCGTCTGACGCTGGTCAGGCATTTCGTTCAGTGTTGGTCGGGCACTGCCAGTCCGTCTCCGGTTCCACGCCCAAGCGTCGGAGGAGAAACGCCGACAAGCCGCCGACTTTGGGTACACAAACGCTACCCGTTTTTCTAGCTACATTGTCGCTCCCATGACCACGACGGCACTTTGCCACATCAAGCTGCCCTAGGTGCACATGGGCGTCAACAGAAAGGTGACCGTCATTCATCATTTCATCTGAACACTCATATTTATCCGTGAGCCCTGGCCTTATTAACTTGAGCTCCATGGCATTTTCTGGTTTTATTTATTATCTTTTCTCTTTCCTCATTTCATTCAAATATATAGTGTGCCTTTTTTTTCTGTTTTGCACAAATGGTCCAGTCTCTTCTTCCCCAATGACGATTCTGCCATCCATGAGTACTCACACGAACCTGCACAAGAGCAACTTGATAAATAGCCTTATGACAATACTCCATGCCCTGTTTGTAAACAAATAGTACAGCATGTTTAAGGACTCTTTACTAACAAGAACTTTCCATACAAGACTGGAATAAAGACTTGTTAAAGTCCCATACATTATGATATGCATTACTTACGTCTTCCTGTCAACCATCTGTGGTAAAACCAGGCACTCTGATCTCCAGGATCCGTGAATGTTGCATTTTGGACCAAGTTGTACTCTTGTTTGAGAGAGAGAAAATGTAACAGGTATGCATATTGACGTCATTAGCCAAGAAAAATTTAAGTAACTATATTTATTTGACCAAAATAACAGAAATGGCAAAGTGCTTACGTAAGAACTAGTTAAAAAGGTCCTGCAACACTTTCTGAACATAATAAAAAAAAAACTCAGCCGATCAGCAGCCAGGGCCTCGGAAAAGATGCGAGCCTAATATTACAGCACTGCATGCAACAGGGAATGTACAATTACATTTCAAACAGCTTAGAATTGCTCATTCTTCTCTTGGTAAACTACATCGTCGATGAATGAAGGAAAAAAAGTGTACACTTAAGAAATCACCTGCTTTGTTGGGCACAATATTGATGAGATCTAACAGACAATCATGCCAAGGAAAGTATAGCACACGTTATTAGAAGTACAGTAGACATTCAGCAAACAGAACCTGAAGGAACCGGGAAAATATATTTTATTTAACAGGCCTTCTGTTTGCTGAGAGGTGAACATGGGTGTAGAATATAAGCCTCAAAACAAACATCGCAGAGGCAATTCTTCCATTCAAGCAGTAGTTCCATTTAACAGATTTCCATTTACTAAGAGCCTACTGTAATTGTACTGTGAATGTGAAACATGAAAAGTGGATGAAAAGATAACGTGCCGTGGGCATAAACCGAGCCTGCAACCTTCGAATAATGCGTCCAATGCTCTACCAACTGAGCTACCATGGCGGCTATCCCCCCGTCTGCTTTATGGGGTATATATGTGCATTAAACGTGGAAGCGTCAGTCAGCCCCACTAGAAGCCATGACAGTTAGTGTGGGACACTCTTCAGCTGCCTGCTTGGTGTCAAGCAGCACATGACCTTATTACGAGCTGGCAGCTGACCAATAATCCCTTGTGATTATCTGTTAGATCTCATTAACATCATCGATGGGTGTTTCTGCCAGTGAAGCATTACTGAAAAAAAAGCATTTAAAATTCAAACAAAAGCCAGTGTACCCTGTTGGCAAGAAGTCTGTCATTTGGAGCAAGGCGAGAAGGAAAATGCGTAAATTTAGAAAGGAAGTCTATGAACATTACAGGCAGCAGCTCACTGGAGACGAGCAAGATGAGGTTTCAAGACTTTATTCACACAGACTATGCATCTTGCATATTTCTGCAGATTCTTGTGGGTATTTTTGCCAAAACTATGTGCGTAAATGACTATTGTTTTCTTGTTTTTCATATGGGAACAATGAAACAGCACTTTTTTTTTTCAATTTTCCTTGAATGCATATGCAGTTATAATTAATCATTTATCTTTAAATACAATATGCATATGCAAAGACAGCCAAGAACAAACTTTTTTTTATTGTGATAGCAATTATACGGACACTCAGCTCTGTCTGTCTGTGTGTGTGTGTGTGTGCATGTGCGTGTGTGTGTGTGTGTGTGTGTGTGTGTGTGTGTGTGTGTGCGTGCGTGTGTGTATAACTCAAGAAAGAAAAAAAGCCACACGTGCTCGGCGCAATGCACGCTCACCTCCCACATGTACTTTTTCTGTACTTTTTCCCCCAAATGGGGGGGGGGGGGGGGTGGTAGAGGCATGTATGCGCGCTTATCCTTTGGTGGGAAGAATCGTGTGGCTTCGGCTTTCACCAAAATTATTGCGTTAGCTGCCGGACCCACAAAGGTCACTTCACTCGCTGCACAGGCCCCGCTTGCGAAAAGAGTGCGCTTTTCATACACAGCAAAGTATAACTGGGACACTTGTTAGCTAGCACTCATGTGTACCTATTATTACATTTCATGCATCGTTTTTGTTTAAACAGCACGTTAAAGGGACACTAAAGTCAGACAACAATTTACGTCACAGTGAAAGCTCATTGTATGACAACATCTAAAACGACAATACTATCAACAACAGTGCCATAATTACCAAGAAATTAAGTTAATTGCACAGGAACACAAGCGCCGCACTAGAACATTTTCAAAATGATCCCTATGACATCAGACGGACCGCCTACAATTAATCACTAGTAATCGATCAAACTGCACTAAATAAAGAACATCCCGTGCATTAAGAGACGCAATATAATGCTACTTGTTCATTTGTTTGATTCATGAAAAAAAGAATCGCCGGACGTTACTATGAGGAATGGCGTGAGTGGTTCAAAAATTCAATTTTCGCGTGGTTACACGGGAGAGGTGGTGCTATCTAGCGGGGCACAGTTGAAACAAAATCGTCTGCAATCTCGAAGTCAGTGGCGGGAAGTTGATCAATGGCCGTTGTTGCAGCTGTGGCTCCCACTGCTTTCAGTCTGCTGCTACTAGGGCAGTAAAGCCGGGCAATGTTGTGCATGGCAACAGTGACGTGAGACGGTTCGGTCAGTCCGCTTCTTGAGGCGGGTAATTTGAAGTGCGCTAACCCAATGTCGAGCACCAAAACGTGATTTTTATTTCAAAATAGGCCTTTCCTTGGCACAAAGGTAACACTACGAGGCTTCTTGGACTGCCATTTCAACAATCAACGTCAACTTGATAGTTGAATTTAGTGTCTCTTTAAGTGTCGAGCGGTAAACATAGTTTGCTCTCATCCTGTATGTATGTGTTGTTTTCGTGTGTCATTTGTGCATGAGCAGCGCACTGCACGTTTTAATCTGCTTGTCGTTCTCAGCGGTACATTCCAAGTTGTTGCTATTGCATTCATTGCTTCGCCCTTGCAGCAAAACTGTGACTTTTTTCAGATAGTAGCAACATTGACGATGCCAAATCTGGTCCGTTTGAAAACTTCTCAGAATAAATTTGTCTGAAATGGGTACCCTCTAGCATGCACTGTCTTGTGCTCCTGAAAAAATGTAGCATAGGCACCACTGCATTTCCTTCTTAGTGTGCACATGTTTTCAACACTACACCACCACATTACAGTTCCAGAAATTTTTGATAATGGAACTTATTATTTATAAAACATAGTGCCACATTCATAGAATTAGAGAAAAAGTCAAAACTCGTAAAGTCTATGAAAAAAAAAATTGAAGAATACTGGCTACTATGCTGAAACCATGACTGTGAAGCAATAGCCCTTTTGGAGGTGCAATAGTACTATTGATGGGACCACACAGCAATTTAGGCTGCACTGATAATATGTAAGAACATCCAAAATACCAATACACTTCAACTAATTTATAAAAGATGCTGATGTAAGAGACAATTGGGGTATAAGAGACATCAGTGTACCTACACTGAAATATGTTTTGATTAGAAAAAAGAGAACCTGGTATCCTGCTTATAGGAGACACTTCAAATAAGGGAGAACTGCTGCTCCTCAGTATGCACCTCTTATAAACGTGTAAACAGAGCTTTAGTAATTGAGACATTCAAGTAAACGTAGGGCACAACTAGCGACTATAATTCCAGCATTAGACCCCGCCGCAGTGGTCTAGTGGCTAAAGTACTTGGCTGCTGACCCCCAGGTCGCGGGATCGAATCCTGGCTGTGGCGGCTGCATTTACGATGAAGGCGGAAATGTTGTAGGCCCATGTGCTCAGATTTGGGTGCACGTTAAAGAACCCTAGGTGGTCAAAATTTCCGCCTTCCACTACGGCGTCTCTCATAATCATATGGTGGTTATGGGATGTTAAACCCCACATATCAATTAATTCTAGCATTAGCCCAATGACATAGCGCATTTCCGTAATTTTGTCAACAGCACTCCATGGTTCATCACAGCAAGATCTTTTCAGTACACTGTAAGACTAGAAAAAATGCTAGCTATGCATTTCTCTACAATTCTTGAAGAAAATATCGTTTTCATGTTTGTGTAGGTAATGCATAAACTCTCCCACAACACCGATATTTTCAGAATAACAGCCCCCAATCACAAAGGCTATGCTTTAGGCTATAGCAAGTGCCAGATTTATTAGCAGGAACTCGAAACGTATTGTGACCATCATGATTAAGCCACTATCTTTTGACGATATTGGAAACATGATAAGCAAACTGTTTCATCACCCACACACTTCTATCTCAGAAGTTTTATTAACATATAGTGCTTCACAGGTTTTCCTCAATAAGAGAACTTGCTCAGATTACTAAAAAAAATTTCGTCTTCATGTGATGTTATCAGCTCACTTTCCGACTGCGATTTTGCATTTCAGACACATTTCAGCAAAAAACTGTAGTGTCACCTGTTGGACTGTAAAGAGTGGAGGTGATGTAGGCACAATCACACAAGGTCAGTTGGAGTCGGGCAATTTAGATTTCGTTACGGGTGCGTGATCGTTGAAACATATTTTCTCTTAAATTAAGCCTCTTTTTTTTTCACAAAACCAGTACTGTGAGCAAGATTTGAAGAATTACATTTTAACAATGCTCATTAAATTATTATTTGGTTTTATTGTCCTTTGAAGACTGTCACAATCTTTTCACATGTGCTTGAATATTAGTGATTTTAGTAATAAACTAAATAAGCTGAAGAAACTTTGATGACTCATTATTTTAGTTATTGCCCCATGGCATTTCTTTATACTTTATTTACCCTGGTCATTCTAGACTAATTCTGTGTGCTAAGCTTGTGGCAGGAATTGTTTGAATGTAACACCAAAACAAAGCAAAAAAGCCAAAAGTTCAGGGGAAGGTAAGAGTGTGACGAGATAGTGTGTCGTTGGAGCCAACGTTTCGCTTCTTTTCTCCAAGCCAAAAACTATTGTCCTCTTCAAAAATATAACTGTTGCAGCCTTGACGGAGACAGTACCGCCATTTTAAACGTTGGGACCACCAGCCACCAGTGTTCAAAAATTTTCCACCTCTTACAAAAACAATATTTTTTCAATAATAGCTCAGAAACTATATTTCCTAAGACAATTATTTACATGAGTTAAATAAATAAATGGAAGTACACAAACAATACAAAAAATCAATAAAGATTAATCCAAATCACTCTCATTAAATAGATATGCTATGAAATATGAGGTGTTGGGGGAAGCATGAAGCACATTAATTGGCTCAATAATTCGGACAAAGGGGTTCATATTTCAATATACAAAATTCATAATACCCCCTGAAATAAATGAAAAACCTTCGTACCGAAAGCAATTCTGATATGTGAAAACTAAATTCGAAACGTCATGTGCTTTGGCAGATTTTGGTGAATGTTTCGGGTCTATAGCCATGCACATCTTCACTGACCGGATTCTATGTATTACTTTGTGGGCATTGTTTTCAAAATTAACACTGTCCAGAACTTGACTGAACTTACTCTTTGATTGTACCGGAAAGACGTGTGACCCAACCCGAGTCGATGCCAGTGACACCTTCTAATTGAGACATAGAGAAGTTTGGTACCATTTTTGCACATGCAGCAACGTGCACAGAAAGAGACCCCTAATAAAGCAGCACATGCCCTTACTAGCTCACTTACGCACATTGTGCCTGGGCTGGAAGGTAACGTACTCCCTAACATTTTTATCGTCATAAGTGCCTTGTGCTCGAAGCCATAAGCATTTCTAACGTGAACATACCTTTTGATACCGAGATAACCTGAAACGAACTTAATGAATAAGCGTTTAGATGCTGTATTTAAGTTGCTTAATTTTCACACATTAGAAGATAGCATAAAGAATTGAAGTAAAAAATGGTTTCAGAAAAAAGAGGCAAGTTTCAGCAGACTGGAAAATATACTAATCATGCAACCATTTTAAAGAAAAGCTTGGCAGCTTAAGCCATATTTAAGTGTGTAATAGGAAATATAAAAAAATTCTCAGAGTAAATTCCTTCATGTTACTGATTTGCCCTAACTGGGGAGGCTACATTCCCACTAGTGGTGCGGTCAAAGCCAAGACATGCAGTTGATATATCGAACAATAGAAGAAATGGAGAAAAGCAGGAACGATGACACCAGTCCACATATTACTATTGTAAAATGAGGTGTGTCATTCTGATTGGTTCAAACAGAGTGTGTGGAGACGAACACTTGCAGAGTTTGTGTATCAATAATTCCAAAATTATGACAAAATTTCACGCTAAACTAAAACATAGGCCCAGAAAAAATTAGAGCACTTGCCTTCCAAAATGACTTTCTCCTCAACTGTGCCTTCCCTCGGGCCAGGGTGAACACTTGGCAACAATGAACTCCTGTAGTGCCAAGCTGAGTAGTTAGAAAAATTGGCTGCAATTCGGTCCATGGTAAATGCCAGCTCCATTTCAGCAGTCACCTTAGTATGACTACATACAAACCGCCGGTAATCCCAACAGTGAACTGCACAAAGAGATAAACACATGACAATAATGTTTTTCAATGCCATCATTAAAAATCAGAGCTTCAAAGTTATAAAATGCTGCAAAAAAAGAAAAAAACATGTTTACTGAAATAATAAAAAAATATGAGAGCTATTTGCATTTTCATTTTTTTAAACCTCAGTCAAACATAATATATAATGGCATTGATTCATAATATATAATGGCATTGATTGATAATGGCAATGCAAATTTGTCACATATGACATTTTCCTAGCTATCTGGCATTATGGAACATTGAAGGACACCATTAGCAGCACAATGAACACTAATATTTTTGAACAGCGCACACTGTGATACCAGTCACTATATTCTGCGTCCACATGACCACTTCACAAGCTTATTCAACTTACAGTTTCGCTCATCTTGGTCAAGGAAAAGATTACACAAGCGTAGCTCTTTGACCCAATCCATGTCTGGGAAATTTTCCATGGCCCAGGCTCGATGACTCCAAGCTCCATAAGACTTTGGGTTTTTCTGCAAGGCTGTTTCAGTGAGAAGCAATTCTCCCACACCATCTTCAACATTCTTTTTCAAGCTAAAAAAAAAAGTGAAGAAAACAATCAACACCACGTGGGTATTCAAAGGTCTCACTCTCTGAATTACATTTTTAAAAAATTAGGGTTTTTACCCATTACCTCATTACACAATGAAACAACTGAATCTCAAACAACAAAGCACAGCAGCCACTCTGGTGGGCAATAATAGGAGAGGTAAGGCAATAATGGCACCCTTGAAGAGTATAAAACATCTACCTATATCATCCTAGGTCATAAACATTAAGTACCCACTTAAAAACCTATGATAAACCCTCAAAGTGTAATTTTTTTTGCATAAAACGTAATTATCCCTTATTCACCATTACCTGAAATAGACCAGCCAAAGAACAAGCTAGAACTTCAAATCATTATTAAATTTGATGCCATTTTCAAAGAAGTATTGGCCCAAAATCATGATGATGAGATAAATTCAGTAAAGTGGCTGTTTGGGCGAGTTGGTCCATTTTAATCTTAAGACAGTGCGTACAAGCAACACTTTTCTTCCTTATTCGTGCGTGCGCGCGTGTGTGCGTGCATGCGTGCGTGTGCGTGTGTGTGTGTGTGTGCGTGCTACAAGACACTGAATGTAATATACTGCCTAAGCCTACACTTTTAATATATGTGCCACACAACTGAGTGCGAAACGCAGAAAATCACCACTAAATCATAAGGAATTATTTTAATGTAAACAAACAACAACCATTTATGCCATGAGTCTCTTGAATTGTTAAGGAGCCTCAGTCCTCTGGGTCTAAAAAAAGAAAGCAGATGGCGTGTGTTGACACACGCAGCATAAGCATCTGTTACATTTGGCCCGGCAATGCATCTGTTACGCTTGGCCTGACAATTCGTCTGGGCAGCCGGTGCGTAAGCCGGTTTGCAAGGTATGCTTACGACCCCATCGGCGCCCAGTCTGCAAGACGCTGTCCTGTAGAGGTTCCAGGTAGTGATCAGGTCTCAATGAATGATGATGATGATGATGATAGCGCAAGGGCCATTTGATGGCCAAAGAGCGCCAGTTCATGGGACAAGGAATGTGGACAATGATTGTGATTAGCGGCTGTATAAGGGCCATAAAATTCCTCGCAGTAAGGCGGGTAAAAACATACAAGTAATAAAATCATGACCATGCCGTGAAAGGTGTGTGTGGTGTGAATAGGTGACAAAAGTTGGTGATAATGAAAAACGATGGTGGACATGTATGGAATTAGCACAAGTACCTCACTCGTTCATACCTTTGCGTCCAAGGGCCGTGAGGCAAGTGCTTTCCTGTGTAGCCACCGCAGCAAAAACCTCTCTGGAGATGTGCTACGGAATGCCCGGGTATATGATATGAAAATTATGAATTTCTTTTAAAAACGCTAACAATGATTTATGACTAAAAAGCAGTTCCCTACCAACGAACATTGCAGGGTGTAAAGGTATATGTTGTCGGTAGGGTAATGGAAAATGCTGTCTTCTTAGAGTGTCTAATTGTTTACATTGGATTAAAACGTTAAGAACTGTTAATGCCTCACCACATTTGTCACACAATGGTGGATCGCCACCGGACAAAAGATGTGTGTGTGTCGTGTATGTGTGTCCTATCCTGAGTCTTGTTAGTGTTACCTCTGTTAGACGTGATTTTGATACTGGTGGCCAATGGCCAAGGTGTGGCTTGATAACGTGTAGTTTGTTTTGTGTGTGTTTATCCCACTTGCTCTGCCAGTAGTCCTTGAGGTTTCGTTTGAGAGACGGCTTAAGATCAAGGACCGGGATTGATATGGGTGTAGGGGCAGTGCTTTTGTGGACGGATGCAGCGAGCTGATCCGCCCTCACGTTGCCTTGGATCTCACGGTGCCCTGGCACCCAGCACACTACAACATGTTGTTTAAGTGTGTAGAGTGTGCATAAAATAGAGTAAAGCAAGACAAGGACAGGGTTTTTTTGTTTTTTAAGATTGTGCAGAGCCGTAACCACACTGAGGGAGTCCGTATAAATTACTGCTTTTTGTATTTGTGATTGCTTGATGTGTTTAACCGCCACAAGTATCGCGTAAGGTTCCGCTGTGAAGATACTTGTGCCTGGATGTAGAGAGCCAGCATCCGAAAAGGATGGGCCGACAGCAGCGTAGGACACAGAGGACTTAGACTTGGAGGCATCTGTAAAGAACTCAGGATGTGTGTATTTGTGTTGAAGTTCCAGGAAGTATGTTCGGATATGGGCAATAGGCGCATGTTTTGTAACTTCTAGAAAAGACACATCGCAGTCTATAGTCTGCCACTGCCACGGTGGCGGGTATGCTACAGGAGCCATTAAACTGAGTTCTAGTGACACTCCAGTGTCCTCAGCTAGACCCTTCAGGCGAACTGAGAAGGGCTGCCTCATCGAAGGCCTGTTTTGAAACAGAATGGAGCTCGACAAATCAATAATAGTAGAGTATGAGGGGTGCTTTTTGTCTGCTTTCAGCTTAAGAAAATAAACAAAGGGCATGTAAGTTCTTTGCAGATGAAGCGACCACTCATTTGACTCTACGTAAAGGCTTTCTATGGGGCTGGTGCGAAAAGCACCCGTAAAAAGGCGGATGCCCAAATGGTGCACGGGTCCAGCATCTTCAAAGCACTTTGAGTCGCAGACTGATAGACAACGGCCCCATAATCTAAGCGGGTGCGAATGAGGCTTCTATACAAATTCATGAGACATTGCCTGTCACTACCCCAAGTAGTACGTGACAACACCTTTAAAACATTCATGGCTTTTAAACATTTTGTTTTTAAATACTTGATGTGCGGTACGAAGGTCAACTTGTTGTCCAAGATTAGGCCTAAGAATTTATGCTCCGCATTTACAGACAGACGTTGATCGTTCAGTTCAATGTCGGGTTCTGAGTGCATGCCTCTCTTTCGGGAGAACAAGACACACGTGCTTTTTTGTGGGTTCAGTCGGAATCCGTTTTCCTCTGCCCATTTGGAGATCTTGTTTAAACCTAACTGAACCTGCCACTCACACATTGCCAAGTTGCATGACTTGAAGCCAAGCTGAACGTCGTCGACATATGTACAATAGAATATATTGAGGGGGATGGACAGGTGCAAGGAATTCATTTTGATAATAAAAAGTGTACAACTAAGTATCCCACCTTGCAGCACGCCTGTTTCCTGGACAAATGTTTGGGAGAGAACACTGCCCACACGGACACGGAATGTCCGATTGGACAAGCAACTCTCGATTATGGAAAACATTCTACCGCGCACGCCAAGGTGGGACAGGTCTCTTAGAATTCCAAAGCGCCTTGTTGTATCATAAGCCTTTTCGATATCGAGAAACACAGAAAGAAAATATTGTTTATGGACGAAAGCATCTCTGATCTGTGCCTCGATACGAACAAGGTGGTCTGTGGTGGATCTACTCTCTCGAAACCCGCACTGAAATGGGTCTAGCAAATTGTTTGTTTCAAGAAAATGTACAAGTCGGCAGTTTATCATTTTTTCGAAGACTTTGCAGAAGCAGCTTGTAAGTGCAATAGGCCTATAACTCGAAGCTAAAGAAGGGTCCTTGCCCTCTTTCAAAATGGGAATAATGGTAGCCTCTTTCCAGAAGGTAGAGATAGTGCCAGAAAACCAAATAGCATTGTACAAACAAAGTAAGGTTTTTCACGTTTCGATTGGTAGGTTTTTTAACATTTCATACACCACACAGTCAGAACCTGGGGCAGAAGTACTGCAGGAGTTTAGAGATGTTCGGAGCTCAGCTAGACTGAAAGCTTGGTTATATGCCTCGTTTCTAGTGCAGTTGTGTTCGAGTTTCTGCTTTTCTATTCTTGTTCTGTATTTTTGGAAAGTGTCAGTATAGTGGGACGGGCTGGACACCCGTTCGAAGTGTGCACCGAGGAAGTTTGCCTACTCTTCCAAGGTATCACCCTGAGTGTTTACGAGTAGAAGTGTGTGTACTTGTTTTCCTGCTATCCTACCAACCATGTTCCAGACTTTAGCCTCCTGTGTGTATGAATTGATCCCTGACAAAAACTTTTGCCAGCTTTCTCTTCTGGCCTGCCGACGCGTTCTCCTGCCTTGAGACTTTATTTTCTTGAAGGTGTCAAGATTTTCGGCTGTCGGTGAGTTCCGAAGCAACCTCCGTGCCTTATTCTGCTCCTTTCGCGCATTACGACACTCAGTGTTCCACCATGGGACGTGTCGCTTGCCGGGCTGTCCAGATGTTTGTGGGATGCATTTGGCTGCTGCGTTAATAAGGAGAGCTGTGAAGTACTGCACAGCTTCATCTATGCTTAGCCCACATATGTCAGTCCAACATAACTGAGCATTGTTATGAAACTGTTCCCAGTCGGCTTTGTGTATAAGCCATTTGGGAACTCGTGGAGGACATTCGTATGATGTTTGTGTACTCAAAACGACAGGAAAATGGTCACTTCCGTAGGGATTATTTAGAACTTTCCATTGGAGTAATGGTACAAGTGAAAGAGATGCGATGCTGAGATCTATGGAAGAGTAGGTTTTGTTGGCAAGGTTATAATATGTTGCCTCTTTCCTATTCAACAAACAGGCACCGGAGGAAAAAAGGAACTGTTCAATGAGACGACCTCGTGCGTCGCAGCGAGAATCACCACATAGACTGCTATGAGCACTCAGGTCACCAAGGACCAGATAAGGTTCGGGTAGTTGATCTATTAAGGACTCAAATTCTCGTTTTCCAAGACGGTGGTGTGGGGGTATGTACAGAGAGCAGATGGTGACGAGCTTGTTGAAAAGAACTGCTCGAACAGCCACTGACTCTAGTGTTGTTTGCAGTGGTAAAAGTGTGCATGCTACTTTTTGATTAACAATAATGGCTACACCGCCGGATGATGCCGCAGCATCATCTCCGTCCTTTCGGAAGAGAACATACCGACGCAAAAAATTCGTGTTTTTAGATTTTAAATGAGTTTCCTGTACACACAGCACTTTCGCCGAATGTTTGCAAAAGAGCTCTTGAACATCAACGAGGTTTCTAAGCAGTCCTCTGA